ACAGAGGGCACCAGCAACACGAGAGAGGAAGAGAACAGAGGGCACCAGCAACACGAGAGAGGAAGAGAACAGAGGGCACCAGCAACACGAGAGAGGAAGAGAACAGAGGGCACCAGCAACACGAGAGAGGAAGAGAACAGAGGGCACCAGCAACACGAGAGAGGAAGAGAACAGAGGGCACCAGCAACACGAGAGAGGAAGAGAACAGAGGGCACCAGCAACACGAGAGAGGAAGAGAACAGAGGGCACCAGCAACACGAGAGGGCAAAGGCATGAGAACAAGTAGGCTCCACTGGTCTCACCTTTGTTTCGGTTCCTTAGCAGCACCAGCCACACGATCAGCAGAGTAATGAGAGCGACGGCCACCACTCCCCCCACCACAATGCCCACAATTGCAGCAGTGGTCATGCCCCCTCCCCCAGTAGGCGCCACAGGGGGGGCGGGTGGGGGAGCTGGGGGTGCGAGCGGGGGGGGGGGGGGGGGGGGGACGGGGGAGAGGAGAAGTCAGAGGATCCAAAGAGGTGAGAGGGCAGAGCGATGAGAGCAAGCGACACCACTCCCTCCACCACTGATGCCCACAATTGCAGCAGTGGTCATGCCCCCTCCCCCAGTAGGCGCCACAGGGAGCTGGGAGGTGGATGGGGGAGAGACAGGTGGAAGGGGGAACGGGGAGAAGAGAGAAAATACGTGAGAGAAAAAGGAATAATGAGAGCGAGGGCCGCCACTCCCCCCACCACGATGCCCACAATCGCAGCAGTATTCATGCCCCCTCCCCCAGTAGATGCAGCAGGGGGGAAAGACAGGAGAGTTGGGGGATGGGGGGTTGAGGCAGGGGGGGAGATGGGAGGAGGCGGTTGGGGATGGGTGGAAGGGGAATGGAGGGTCGAGAGTGCTTAGGAGGAGGAGCAGGCGTGAGAGAGAGCAGAGCAATGAGAGCGAGTAGCACCACTCCCCCCACCACAATGGCCACAATCGCAGCAGTGGTCATTCCCCCGGCCCCAGTAGACGCCCCGGCACACATGCAAGGGAAATGTGTGAGAGAGAGTGCATACCAAAGGAGCATACTAAAAGGGGTGTGAGAGGGCGGAAAAATGAGATGAGAGCTAGGCCGACCACTCCCCACCCCATGATATTCACGATCGCAGCAGTGGTCAGGCCCTCTACTCCTACTCACAGTGGTCAGGCCCTCTACTCCTACTCACAGTGGTCAGGCCCTCTACTCCTACTCACAGTGGTCAGGCCCTCTACTCCTACTCACAGTGGTCAGGCCCTCTACTCCTACTCACAGTGGTCAGGCCCTCTACTCCTACTCACAGTGGTCAGGCCCTCTACTCCTACTCACAGTGGTCAGGCCCTCTACTCCTACTCACAGTGGTCAGGCCCTCTACTCCTACTCACAGTGGTCAGGCCCTCTACTCCTACTCACAGTGGTCAGGCCCTCTACTCCTACTCACAGCCCCCACCCATACCTCCCCTGGTTCTCACCTGGCCTGTACATGGCATCCACGATATAAGGCCCACCTGGTGAAGTGGCCTACTGCTTCCTCTCTCACCTGCCCCATACACATCTCCCCCAGGTAGGGATGAGCAAAGGGCGAACACGAACATGTTCGTCTTCACCCCTTGTCGAACACCCTCTTTTGCCGAACCGAACAGTGTTTGGTTCGGCGAACAGTTTAGGAAAAAACAGGTGTTCGCTGTTCGCCTGTGGAGGCGTGTTCGGGCGAACCTCGAACACTGTTCGTGTTCGTCGCGGGCAAATTTCAGCAGCGGCCCGAACACGAACGTGTTCGGGCGAACATCGAACACTGTTCGGCGAACGATTTGAGCTAAAAAACAAAACCTGTTCGGTTCGCCACCTTGCTCATCCCTACCCCCAGGTCTCACCTGGCCCATACACACCTCCCCCAGGTCTCACCTGCTCCATACGCATCTCCCCCAGGTCTCACCTGGCCCATACACATCTCCCCCAGGTCTCACCTGGCCCATACATGGCCTCCACAATGTGAGGCCGAAAGTCCGTCCCCAGCAGCACCTTGTGCCACACGAACGCCTCCCTTATCTGCCAGATAAAAGACTCACGGTCACACCTTCCCCGTGCATGCCTCCCCCAGGTCTCACCTGCCCCATGCATGCCTCCCCCAGGTCTCACCTGGCCCATACATGGCCTCCACAGTGTAAGGCCCAAAGTCCGTTCCCAGCAGCACCTTGTGCCACACAAACGCCTCCCTTATCTCCTGCGCCTGCTGCCACTCAGCGCTGCTCGCACTGCTGCTGCTAGCAGGGGTGGTGGTGGCCGTGCTGCTGCTGTTGCTGCTGTAGCTGTTGCTGCTGTAGCTGTTGCTGCTGTAGCTGCTGCTGCTGTAGCTGCTGCTGGTGGTGGTGGTGGCAGGGGTGGTGGTAACAGCAGAGGAGGAGGAGGAGGGAGGGGGGAAAAAGCGGATGGAGGTGCTGATGGTGGAAGGAGAGAGGATAGACCCGGTGACTGACACTATGGCGATCTGTTGAACGAGGGGGGAGGAAGCAAACGAAGAGAGGGGAACATAGGAGAAAGGGAACAGAGGAAGGTGGAAGGGGAGAGTATAGGCCTGGTAACCGACACGATGGCGATCTGTTGGTGTGAGGGCACGAGGGTGGGAACAAGTTGGGAGGGAGAGAGACTGGGAGGGAGAGAGACTGGGAGGGAGAGAGACTGGGAGGGAGAACGGGGAAGGGGGCTCGGGGGAATGGGGAAGGGGGCTCGGGGGAATGGGGAAGGGGGCTCGGGGGAATGGGGAAGGGGGCTCGGGGGAATGGGGAAGGGGGCTCGGGGGAATGGGGAAAGAAGCGGATGGAGGTGCTGATGGTGGAAGGAGAGAGGATAGACCTGGTGCCTGCTCCACCATACCCACCTGCCCTGTCCCCACCACACCCACCAGTTCCCCCCAGACCCACCTGCCCCGTCGAAATGCCGATACCATTCTTGCCCAGACTCTCCGCTACCCTCTCTACAAGCAGACTCGCGAGGTCGTCATGAAATACCGCGTACTGCGGCGCAGTGAGCTTCAGCTGCACCTCCAGCGGCGAGACACACCTGTCCCCACCTATCACAAAACCGGCCTATCACGATATCCGCTTGCTACAAAACCCACCACCCACCAGACCAGACCCACCTGCCCTGTCGAAATGCCGATCCCATTCTTCCCCAAGCTCCCCGCGATCCTCTCTACAAGCAGACTCGCGAGCTCATCATTAAACACCGCATACTGCGGCGCAGTCAGCTTCAATTCCACCTCCAGCGGCGAAGCACACACACACACGTTGGTCAGCGCGAGCAGGGGCGGGCTGGGCGCGTAGAGAGAGGGGCAGGCGAGGTCGTCGCAAATGGGAGGGGGCTGATACTGCATGAAGCCGAGTGGAGGCGAGCAGGCTGCAGTGACTGCAGGGCGGTAGGGCACACAGAGGTCGTTGCCGTATAGCCTGGAGGGATGGGGGTGAATGCAACAAGGGGGATTGGAACAAAGGGATGCAGCACAAGGAAGGAAGGATGGGAGATGTCGTCACAGATGGGAGGGGGCTGATACTGCATGATGCCGAGAGGGGGCGAGCAGGCTGTGGTGACCTGAGGGCAGTACGGCACACAGAGGTCGTTGCTGTATAGCCTGGAGAAATAGGGGTGGAAAGAGAAAGGGAGACACACAGGTGACCAAGTGAGTGAGCGAGCCAGCAAGTGAGAGAGTAGGTGAGCAAGTGAGTGAGCGAGTGAGTGAGTGAACAAGTGAGTGCGACAGCAGTCAGAGAGGATAACTCACTGCAGAGTGACGTTTTCGTTGCTCAGCAGAGCAGCAGGGGCGCGGGTTAAGTGGTTCACATAGAGGGAGCAACTGAGGGAGCAACTGAGGGAGCAGGTGCTGGCGTGAATGAAAAGGTGAGAACCTGCGGGTTTGTGTCAAAACTCACTGCAGTGTGACGTTCTCGTTGCTGAGCAGAGCAGCAGGCGCGCGGGTGAAGTGGTTATCAAAGAGGGAGATGGTGGCGATGACAGGGAGGGCGTCTAGAGGAGGCACGGGGCCGGTTAGTTTGTTGTCTGATAGGATACTGGGATGGGTTGAGGGGGGGGGAGGATGGGGGGAAGACAGCAACAGGATACAGCAGAGCAGGAAGGGGAGCAGTGGAGAGGGAGCAGCAGGGGGGGGGGGGGCAGCAGGTGCGCGGGTGAAGTGGTTATCAAAGAGGGAGATGGTGGCGATGGCTGGGAGAGCGTCTAGAGGAGGCACAGGGCCTGTTAGTTTGTTGTCTGATAGGATACTGGGATGGGAGAGAAGGAGAAGTGGGGAAAGGAGAGGGGGTGAGAGAGGGAAGCAGGACAGGGAGCATGTCTAGAGGAGGCACAGGGTCCCGTGAGGTGAGGTTGTTGTCTGATAGCATACTGGGAGGGGAGGCAAGGGGAGCTGGAAGGTTTTGAGAGGGATTGAGAGGAAAGCGCGTCTAGAGGAGGCACAGGACCCGTGACGTGAGGTTGTTGTCTGATAGCATACTGGGTGAACGAAGAGGAGGGATGAGGTAGGAACAGGAGTACAAGGGGATTGAGCAGCAGGAAACGGGGTAGCAGGAGAGGTGCAGCAGAAAAGACGACAGCAGAAAACCGAGCATGGGAGTGGCGTATGAGAGAAAGGGGGTCTCACATGGAGTGGAGTTGTGTGAGGTTGGCTGATGCCGGTGGGTGGGGGAAAGGGTGGAGGGGAGGGTGGGTTGGTGCTGAGATGGTTCTTTGTAGGATTGCTGAACATGTGAGTAGTGCATGACAGAGCGAGTCTCACTCACGACACTCTCATGACAGAGCGAGTCTCACTCACGACACTCTCATGACAGAGCGAGTCTCACTCACGACACTCTCATGACAGAGCGAGTCTCACTCATGACACTCTCATGACAGAGCGAGTCTCACTCATGACACTCTCATGACAGAGCGAGTCTCACTCATGACACTCTCATGACAGAGCGAGTCTCACTCACGACACTCTCATGACAGAGCGAGTCTCACTCACGACACTCTCATGACAGAGCGAGTCTCACTCACGACACTCTCATGACAGAGCGAGTCTCACTCATGACACTCTCATGACAGAGCGAGTCTCACTCATGACACTCTCATGACAGAGCGAGTCTCACTCATGACACTCTCATGACAGAGCGAGTCTCACTCACGACACTCTCATGACAGAGCGAGTCTCACTCACGACACTCTCATGACAGAGCGAGTCTCACTCACGACACTCTCATGACAGAGCGAGTCTCACTCACGACACTCTCATGACAGAGCGAGTCTCACTCACGACACTCTCATGACAGAGCGAGTCTCACTCACGACACTCTCATGACAGAGCGAGTCTCACTCACGACACTCTCATGACAGAGCGAGTCTCACTCACGACACTCTCATGACAGAGCGAGTCTCACTCACGACACTCTCATGACAGAGCGAGTCTCACTCACGACACTCTCATGACAGAGCGAGTCTCACTCACGACACTCTCATGACAGAGCGAGTCTCACTCATGACACTCTCATGACAGAGCGAGTCTCACTCATGACACTCTCATGACAGAGCGAGTCTCACTCATGACACTCTCATGACAGAGCGAGTCTCACTCACGACACTCTCATGACAGAGCGAGTCTCACTCACGACACTCTCATGACAGAGCGAGTCTCACTCACGACACTCTCATGACAGAGCGAGTCTCACTCACGACACTCTCATGACAGAGCGAGTCTCACTCATGACACTCTCATGACAGAGCGAGTCTCACTCACGACACTCTCATGACAGAGCGAGTCTCACTCACGACACTCTCATGACAGAGCGAGTCTCACTCACGACACTCTCATGACAGAGCGAGTCTCACTCACGACACTCTCATGACAGAGCGAGTCTCACTCACGACACTCTCATGACAGAGCGAGTCTCACTCACGACACTCTCATGACAGAGCGAGTCTCACTCACGACACTCTCATGACAGAGCGAGTCCCACTCATGACACTCTCATGACAGAGCGAGTCTCACTCACGACACTCTCATGACAGAGCGAGTCTCACTCACGACACTCTCATGACAGAGCGAGTCTCACTCACGACACTCTCATGACAGAGCGAGTCTCACTCATGACACTCTCATGACAGAGCGAGTCTCACTCATGACACTCTCATGACAGAGCGAGTCTCACTCACGACACTCTCATGACAGAGCGAGTCTCACTCATGACACTCTAATGACAGAGCGAGTCTCACTCACGACACTCTCATGACAGAGCGAGTCTCACTCACATGGAGTGCAGGCGTGTGAGGTTGGCTGAGGGCAGCCCGGGAGGGAGGGTGCCGTTGAGATGGTTCAATGCGAGATTGCTGCGAGGCATGCACGAGGGGAGGGGAGGGAGAAGAGGGGTGGAAAGGGAAGGGGAGGGTAGGGGAGGGGAGGAGAGGGAGAAGAGGGGTGGAAAGGGAAGGGGAGGGTAGGGGAGGGGAGGAGAGGGAGAAGAGGGGTGGAAAGGGAAGGGGAGGGTAGGGGAGGGGAGGAGAGGGAGAAGAGGGGTGGAAAGGGAAGGGTAGGGTAGGGGAGGGAGGGGAGGAGAGGGAGGTTGCCGTTGAGATGGTTGAGGGCGAGATTGCTGCGATGCGCACAAGAGGTGCATGCGGGGAGGGGAGGGAAGGGAGGGGAGGGCGGGGAGGACGTGGGGTGATGGGGATGTGTTGACATGTGCAGCATTGCAGAGGCTTGGAGCATGCTGGCATGGTGAGAGAGAGCTAAGGCAGGCAAACAAGTTTTGAGACGTACGGGATAGGGATGTGTTGACATGTGGAGCATTGCAGAGGCTGGTTTTTTAGAATTCTCAGAAACCATGTTGACATGTGGAGCATTGAAGAGGCTGGTTTTTGAGAATTCTCAGAAACCATGTTGACATGTGGAGCATTGCAGAGGCTTGGAGCGTGCTGGCATGGTGAGAGAGAGAGCATGGCGCTGAGGCAGGCAAACGGGGACAGACGTGGTGCAATACACAGTGCACTCACAGGGTTACCAGGTGTGTTTTGAGTCGACTCACAGGGTTACCAGGTGTGTTTTGAGTCGACTCACAGGGTTACCAGGTGTGTTTTGAGTCGACTCAAAACACACTAAGACGTGGTGCAATGCACAGTGGTGCACTCACAGGGTTACCAGGTCAGGGTGTGTGGTGAAGAGAGCAAGCGGCAGGGGGCCTTGAAAGTTGTTGCGACTCAAATCGCTGAAAGTGGCAAGACAGCAAGTGGGGAGGGAGGAGGAGGGAATGCAAGGGGGGGTGCGAATGATTGCTGAGAGGGCACGGGGCAGCGGGCTTTGGAGGTTTGTCCGTTGCGACTCAAAGCGGTGTGATGGGAGGTTAGGTAGTAGAGGAGGCGGAAGGCGAGAGGAGGAGGGAAAAGGTGGGGGGAGGGGGGGAAACGTGCGGGGAGGGGGGAAAACGTGGGGGGAGGGGGGAAAACGTGGGGGGAGGGGGGAAAACGTGCGGGGAGGGGGGAAAAGGTGGGGGTGGGGTGGGGGGGGGGGTTGAATGAGTGTTGAAGAGGGCAAGGGATAGGGAGCTATAAAAGGTGTTGGCAACTCAAATCGCGGAAGGGGTTCAAGGGAGATGGAGGGTTTGACATTGGGAGCAAAGAGCAGAACATGGTGACAAGCTCAGAGGAACCTCAAAGCTCGGTGGCAAAAAGGGGGAGAACAAGGTGGGAAAAGGTAGGAGCGGAGCGTGCATGGATGTTGTTGTGAGTCAAACTGGTGAAAGGAGAGGGTGGAGGAGGGAGACGAAAGAGGGTAAGAGGCAGAGGGGGATGAAAGAAAGGAATATGAAAGATGGTGTGCCTCAAATCGCTTAGAAGAGTTGAAGGAAGAGGAAAGAGGAGAAAGGGCAGGAGGCAGAGGGGGGCGAGTAAATGGCTGTCAGAGAAACAAGGGCTTATAGACTCATAGATATCAGAGGATGAAGTGGAGAGGTTGAGCAGTAGCGTACAGGTAGCAGAGTGATGGGAGGCCTGTCAAAGGCGGCAGTGGTTGGGGCTGCATGGAGCAATTGTGCATCGACCTGCGTGATTGCATGGAGGGGAGGTGAGGAAAGGGGAGGGGGGGAAGGGATGCGGGGAGGGAAAGGGGGCGCGTGGCTGCTGAATTTGGGAAGGCAGTGGCTGGGGGGCCCATGGAGTAGTTGTGCATTGAGCTGCGTGTGTGCATGGAAGGGGGAGGTATGGAAACGGGGGTGGGACAATGGTGAAGAGGTTTTGAGGCGTTTCAAGAAGCAGTTGTTTGTGCATGGTCGAGCTCGCATGCATGGAGGAGCGGAGGAGGGGGGGGTTGGTGGGGTGGTGGTGGTGGTGGGAGGTTGAGGAGCGGACACTTGGCGCTTTGTGATTGGAGCACTCACAGGTCTTGCAGTGCTGGGAGGTAGAAGTAGGACACGTGGCATGTAGTGATTGGAGCACCACTCACAGGTCTTGCAGTGCTGGGAGGCTGAGAGAAGGTGGAAGCCAGCCCTGAATGGTGTTGTTGCTCAGATGGCTGCCACGTGGCACACAGTGATTGGAGGACGAGAGGGGGAAAGGAGGACATACAACGAGTAAATATTGTTAGAACCAAACAGGACCACAGCGGTTTGCCATAGGAGGGAGCACTACCTGCCTTTCTCACGTGGGCAGGGCACTGCACTGCCTACATGACGAAGTGACTTTTGAGTCGACTCAAAAGTGACTTCGTGGGCACTGCCTACATGACGAAGTGACTTCGTGGGCACTGCCTACATGACACTAACAGCATTCTCACCAGATTCCTGACCGATAGAACAATTATAAAGGCGTTAATGAAATCGTTTCTTTCCCATATGTGTGTCGACTGATACAGTGTGCTCCTCCGCCTTCGCCCGCTCACATGATCTGGAGGCTGGTGGAGCCACTGAGTCCCGCTGTAAATACGTTTCTCAAACTCCTCCTACTGATCCTCAGAGCAAAGGAAGGGTCTGATTCACACTGATTCTGATTCACACTGATTCTGATTCACACTGATTCTGATTCACACTGATTCTGATTCACACTGATTCTGATTCACGCTGATTCTGATTCACACTGATTCTGATTCACACTGATTCTGATTCACACTGATTCTGATTCACACTGATTCTGATTCACACTGATTCTGATTCACACTGATTCTGATTCACACTGATTCTGATTCACACTGATTCTGATTCACACTGATTCTGATTCACACTGATTCTGATTCACACTGATTCTGATTCACACTGATTCTGATTCATTCTGATTCACACTGATTCTGATTCACACTGATTCTGATTCACACTGATTCTGATTCACTTTGATTCTGACTCGCCTTGATTCTGACTTGCTTTGATTCTGATTCGCTTTGATTCTGACTTGCTTTGATTCTGACTTGCTTTGATTCTGATTCACTTTGATTCTGACTTGCTTTGATTCTGACTTGCTTTGATTCTGATTCACTTTGATTCTGACTTGCTTTGATTCTGACTTTGCTTTGATTCTGACTTGCTTTAATTCTGATTCACTTTGATTCTGATTCACTTTGATTCTGACTCACCGCAATGCTCTCCCAGTCGATGCTCACATGATCTGGAGGCTGGTGGAGCCACTGAGTCCCGCTGGAAAGGTCTGGTTGAGACGGTTGTTGTCCACCAGGCTGGTGGGAGGGGAGAGAGAGGGAGAAGAGGAAGAGAGGGAGGGGATGCCTTTGAGTCAATTCACGAGGCTGGTAGAGCCACTGAGCCCTGCTGGTGGTTGAGACGGTTGTTGTCCACCAGGCTGGTGGGTGGGAGGGGGGGAGGGAGAGGGGGGTGAGAGGAAGGAGGAAGGGAGAGGGTGACTCTTGAGTCGATTCAAGAGGCTGCTGGAGCCACTGAGTCCCACTGAGGAGGTCTGGTTGAGACGGTTGTTGTCCACCAGGCTGGGGGGTGAAGGGGAAGAATGAAGGGGAAGAGTGACGGGGAACGGGGTGAGCGGGTGAGGAGAAGGGGGGGGGGGGGTAAGCAGGCAGGGGTAAAAATAAAATGGACCTGAATGGAATCGAGCCCTACAGGAAAGGTCTGGTTGAGGTGGAATATAGGAGGTGGCTGATGTCGACGAGGGTGGTGGGAGGAGGAGGGGGCAGGGATGGACAGACAAGACACGGGCAGGGATGGACAGACAAGACACGGGCAGGGATGGACAGACAAGACACGGGCAGGGATGGACAGACAAGACACGGGCAGGGATGGACAGACAAGACACGGGCAGGGATGGACAGACAAGACACGGGCAGGGATGGACAGACAAGACACGGGCAGGGATGGACAGACAAGACACGGGCAGGGATGGACAGACAAGACACGGGCAGGAGGCGGAAGATGAGAATGGGAGTGAGTTGAAGAAAGCGTGCGTGCATGTGCGTTTGTGTGTATGTATGGAGACTTTTGAGTCGACTCAAAAGTCACCCCATATCAGCTGGGAGCATATCAGCTGGGAGCGCAGCCACAAGGGGGATGGCTTACAGGTGGATGAGGTTTGGATGAGACGTCTCAAAAAACTTCTTTCTACACGTGGGAGCGCAGCCACAAGGGGGATGGCTTACAGGTGGATGAGGTTTGGGAGGCGTCCCAGTTCCCCTGGAACGTATGTTAGCTGGTTGCGACTCAGGTGACTGGCAGGCAGGGGGGAAGAGCAAGAAGAAACCGAAAAAGAAGGGCGGAATGGGTGGATGGTGGAAGGAAAAGGAGGGATGGTGTGATGAGACGAGCAAAGGCCGTGAGGTGTATTGTGAGGCGCCTCAAAATACACCTCACTGCACGCGGATGGTACGATGAGACGAGCGAAGGCCGTGAGGTGTATTGTGAGGCGCCTCAAAATACACCTCACTGCACGCGGATGGTACGATGAGACGAGCGAAGGCCTCACTGGTGTGCCCTGACGACCCTCACTGGTGTGCCCTGACGACCCTCACTGGTGTGCCCTGACGACCCTCACTGGTGTGCCCTGACGACCCTCACTGGTGTGCCCTGACGACCCTCACTGGTGTGCCCTGACGACCCTCACTGGTGTGCCCTGACGACCCTCACTGGTGTGCCCTGACGACCCTCACTGGTGTGCCCTGACGACCCTCACTGGTGTGCCCTGACGACCCTCCTGCAGAGAGGCCAGGAGATGCGGACAAGAATGGCCGGCTAGAAGCAACAACAGGACCAGAGGCAATGCATGCATGCTGGCGTGAGTTTTGAGGCGCCTCAAAACTGACAACAACAGGACCAGATGCTATGCAGGTGAGCAACAAGACAAGACGGTTCTAGTTGTCTTGGCGAGAAGAGAAGCAACCAAGGGAAAGGGGACCAGGCAAGGGGGGGTACCCACAGGTGGCCCATGCTGGTACACGTGTCGAATCCCGGTTGGATGGGCACAGGCCCTGAGATGTTGTTGTCTGTGATGTCAAAGAAATAGAGGTTGGTTAGATTCGCCACCTGTGCAAGAAGGAGTAGGGGAGGAGGGTGTGGGAAGAAGATGAGACGAAGGAGTATGCAGTTAGGCAGAATTGTTTCTTGAGTGCTGTTAGTGCTGTTAGTGTTGTTAGTGTTGTTAGTGTTATTAGTGTTGTCAGTGATGTCCAGAGGTCTGTTAGATTCGCCACCTGCAGCAGCAGGAAAGGAGCGGATGGTGCAGTGAGGTATTCACCTGTCTGAGAATGCTGCTGGAGAGTTGATTGCTGTTGACAGCAAAGAAGTTGAGAAATGGGTGTGGTTCAGTGCGGTGCAATACGGTGTGTACCTGTCTAGGGATGCTGCTGGAGAGTTGATTGCTGTTGACCGCAAAAAAGTTGAGATTGCTCACAAGGCCGATGGTTGCAGGGCTGGGGTGGGATGGGAGTAGTGTAGTGCGGTGCAGTGCGGTGAAGTACGGTACGCACCTGTCTAGGGATGCTGCCAGAGAGCTGGTTGCTGTTGACAGCAAAGAAGTTGAGATTTCTTAAGAGGCTGATGGTTGAAGGTATGGATCCTGACAGGTTGCATCCGTGCATGTCCCTGGTGGAATGAGATTCAGTGCGGTGGGTTGCAGTAGAGAGGGATAAAAGAGGATATAGAAAAGAGAAAGTGGGATTGGGAAGGGGAGTTGGGCATTGGCGGTCTGTGTACGTGCTTGTCCCTGGTGTTTCCGATACAGCGCATTGAAGTGCGGTGAAGTGCGGTAGAGAAAGGTGCAGTGAGAGGTGGTAGTAACAGTGTAAGGGAGCGGCAAAAGCGAGCGATTTATTACAGGGTAAAATCACTCACAGCATGGAGATGATGTTGCTGTTGCCGTTTGCTTATGGCAGAAAGGCTAAACGGCAGTATGTGAAATAAACGCTAGAGCAACAAGATCAAGAGGGTACCTGGATCAAGAGGGGAACGCCAACTCACAGCATGGAGAGTTCTGAAAGAGCGCTGATGGTGCTGTATATGCTGCCTGTGAGCGCTGGGTTGAGAGAAATGTCCCTGGGAGGGGAGAGAGGGTAAAACGGGTGTGGGTGGAGACATTGCAGGGGAGAAGGAGGCGAGGGGACATCTCGGGCGCCTAAGAGGTCGGAGAATGAGCTGATGGTGCTGTATATGCAGCCTGTGAGGGCTGGGTTGAGTGTAATGAGGTTTTGAGTCGACTCAAAAATGAGCCGATGGTGCTGTAAATGCTGCCTGTGACAGCTGGGTTGAGAGATATGTCCCTGAGAGACGGGAGGGGCACCGAAAGAGAGTTTGAGACGTCTCAGTACCGACCGAGTTGGCTTCCGCTGCGGTTACAGGATAGCTCAACTAAAGAGCTGCATCTTGCGTACGATTACAAGCACGTACAGAGGTTCAAGTACTGTGCCTATAAGCCCGTCAGAAGGGGTATAAATGAGGCGGTCTATAATGCGTACGAGCTTCTGAGAAACTACTAACGGGCCACAGGCTGTGCCTAAAAGCCTGTCAGAAGGAGTGTAAACGAGCCGAACTGTAAGGCGTACAGGCTTTTGAGTGCCGTTAGCTCGAAGAGAGCTGGCGGAAGCTGCCCGGAAAGTCCCAACCCTTGCAGTGTCCTGCCAACACGAATAGTGGGGGAAGAGATTCGGGGGAGTGAGGGAGGGTGTGAGAAGAAGGGAAGCGGAAGAGGAGCAGTGGAAAGGGGAGTGGGAGGGTGAGGGGCGGGGGGAAGGTACAGCTTATAGGACCGAAGTAGGAGACGGATATAATCAAAAGCAGAGTGGAAAATGGAGGGGAGAGGAGGATGGGGGCAGTTGGTTTGGGAGGGGTGAGAGGAAGATGAGAGGGGTGAGAGGACCAGCAAGGACGAGGTGAATGTTGTGAAGTTTGGCAAGGAGGTGAAAGAAATCTTGGAGCGGCTGACAGCGATATGACCAGAAATGTCACCACTCATACAGATGTAACCACTCATACTGATGTAACCACTCATACTGATGTAACCACTCACAGCGCTGTAACCACATGGTTGCCCGAACCGTCACTCTCACAGGTAACCCCCTGCCAGCCCTTGCTGCTGGGACCAGCAGCAGCACCACCACCACCGCCACCACCACCACCAGGAGCAACGGCGACGCAAGGGTCGTTTCCAGACCAGGCGTGGAAGAAGGGGTTGGAGGAGGTGAGGGTCGATGCTATGGTGTGAAGAGCGGCCACTGGGAAGGGAAGGAGATGGGAGAGGAGGAGAGGGAGACAGGTTACAAGGGGTAGAAGGAGTCGTTTCCACCAGGCGTGGAAGAAGGGTTGGAGGAGGTGAGAGACGATGCTATGGTGTGCAGAGCGGCCACTGGGAGGGGGAAAATGGGGAGAGGAGGCGAGGGAAAGATAAAAGAGCTTTTGAGGCGCCTCAAGGCATGGAAGCAGCAGCAGCAGCAGAGGGGGCAGCAGCGGGGACAGCAGCAGGGACAGCAGTAGCAGCAGCAGCAGCAGCAGCAGCGGGGGCAGCAGCGCAAGGGTCGTTCCCAGCCCAGGCGTGGAAGAAGGGGTTGGAGGAGGCGAGGGACGAAGCTATGGTGTGAAGAGCGGCCACTGGGAAGGGGACGAGGGGGAGAGCGAGAAAGGGAGACGAGGAGAAGGTGAGAAGGGACGAAAGGGAGAGGGGAGGAGGGGAAGAGGGGGAGAGGGGAGGATGGGAAGATGGGACGAGGGTGATGGGGAAGACGGGGAGAGGGGGAGAGGGTGTCGAAGAGAGGGGGGGTGTAGTGAGAAGGTTGGTGTGGCTCAGGAAGAACCAACAAGCGGGCCGACCTCAAGAACGGAAAACTGGGCGTCTATCCGTTTTACCCGTTTCGTTAGAGATTTCTAGATTCGTCTCAGGACGGGCATTTGGAGTGAGCAACGCAGAAGGAACCGAAGGAATCTTAGAGTAGACCCAAGACATGGAGGAGAGGAGGGATGGAGCCGTGACGGTGCTAAAACTTTCCGTCCTTGAAGGACGGGGACTGAGAAGGAGGGACGGGAAGAAGGAAACGAGGCGATTGAGTCGACTCAAAGAACGGAGGAGTGTACGAACTCCGTCGGATGGTGCTAAGGACGGCAACTGGAAGGGAGGAACGCACTTGTGGGCAGCAAGGAATCGAGGATGCCAAATGGCTGTCAGAATGGTGGTTACATCCGTCAGAAGGGTGGTTACATCCGTCAAAAGGGTGGTTACATCCGTCAGAAGGGCGGTTACATCCATCAGAAGGGTGGTTACATCCGTCAGAAGGGTGGTTACATCCGTCAGAAGGGTGGTTACATCCGTCAGAAGGGTGGTTACATCCATCATAAGGGTGGTTACATCCGCCTAAGTTATCCGTGTGGTGAGAACCACCGCGTGGTCACTCTTTGTTTGCAAACAAGAAAGGGCTTAGCAGCACCAAGAGCGACGCGCACAGGCGCGAAATGGACGGAACGCGACCCGTGGAAAGGGCACGGTGGAAGGGATACGTGCAAGGAATGCGGTGGAAAGGACATGGCGGGAAAGACTCTTCGCGTTGGCTGCATATTGTCGCAAGGACGAAAGTGACCTTGTAAATGACCATTCTCGACTAAACGAGGTGACTTTTGAGTCGACACAGAAGGGAGGGAAGCTTTGCCTGGGCTACATATCCTCGCAAGGACGAAGGTGACCTTAGCGACGTTCGCAGATGACTATTCGCGACTAAACAGCGTGCTCATGACTCATGAGAGATTGTGAGATTCTTGGCCGGAATACCCGACTATCGTGGAAAGGACGCCATGGATGTCAGACTGTAGTCTGTCGCTATTCCCGTTAAAAGCACGGAGAGGATTCACCTTGAGCTGGGTCTGTCGCAGCTTTGACGGTCTCGCGTGTTCCGAGACTGAAAACAGTAGCGGCCAGTAAGACGAAATGAGCGGAGCAGATGATGTTGCGTCGCCTTCGCGGAGATTTTCGATTCGCCAACGACCCGATGTGGTCCATGGTAGTGATTTTTCTGACGGCTCGTCAGGAGGATAAAATATGGCCCGTCTCGGAAAAACTCGCGGCAAATGCGGAACACCTTTGGTCGGGTAAGTGGTGATGCGTACGGATGAAGATCACGAGGTGCTCTAGCTAGAAATACCGCGGAGTACAGGCAGATAAGAACGTGGTAATGCGCTTCGTCCAATCATCGTAGGATCCTTCGTGGTGGTCCTCTCTAGCGACCCGGGAAAAAAGGTTAACCAATACAACTGAGAGACTAAGACGCGGAAAAACTGGGACAGGGACGCGGAAAAACTGGGACAGTCCTATACAGTCACTGGAACGAAGAACTCGGACCTTCTAAGTAGTGAGCCTCTTAGAAAAAAACTCCAGCTTGAGCAAGAGTGGAGTTATTTTTAGTTTACTAAGCGGGTCGCCTACTAGGACAGGCTAGAACCATCCACCCCTCAACGAAGTGATGTTTTTTGTGTGGGCTGAGGGGATGTGGGGTTCATCTCGCGTAGTGTTTCGTCAAGTTTTTCGTGCGGTTGTGTGAGATTGTAAGCAAGGCTGATAGCCTACAGAAGTTTCAAGATCGGTTCAGAAAGGTTTGGGGCGAATTTACTTTCTGCAAGGTCGTTCGTGCCCAACGGGCTAACTGCCTGCTCCTCCAGCCAGCCTAACGTCTCTGAAGAAACATTCTTGCCTCCTCGAGTTATTTGTTTGGTTCGGGTTTTGGCAGACCTCAACCAAGCTCTCCCAGGTTCCTTCAGAGCCTCACGCCCAAGGCTTTTCCAAACCTGAGCCCTCGAAACATACAGCCCTTGATCGAGAGGTTGGGGCACATCGAGCCTACACTTTTGGTGTGAGTGAAAAAAATCGCCGAGACGAACGTTGACATTGGTACACCTTGGCTCGGGTGCTTGTGGCATTCGTGCCATCATTTCGGTTTGGGCTCACTCGAACCGCAACATCTGACATTATCCTGCGCACCCATCCAGATCCAACCCCGCCCCTGACCTGATGGCTCGACAAGAAAAAACATTTTCATCCAATCACTGAGTGCCTTGAAGCAACCTGTGGGGTGCTATAAACTGTTCATGATTGAAACTGCTGCTGCAGGTGGGCTTCTCGCTTCTGCCCGTGGCCGGCGCCGCTGTATGCCTCGACAGAAGGCGCGCAGATGACGGCTTGGCCGCACAGTCAATTAAAAATCCGTTCACCGATTCAAAGTGTAGATTCCTGGAAGCCACAGACTGATCATTCATGTTGAGTCCTGTTACGAATGCAATGAATCGAAGTAGCGAGAATTGCACTAAGGTGTCAAACGAGTACCAAATGTGAGCGAAGGCTGAGCGAACATTTTTACACGAAACATGCAAACGGTAACGCGGTGCGTGCGAGCTAGCTAGTGCTACGTTGGAGCGAGGCTTGGGCTAGTCCCGGAGCGTAGGCCGATACGGCCATGCCTGCAGTGCGAGGTTTGGTGAAAACAGTGTGCGCGAAGTTGGCGAAACCCCGTTAGCAGTAACGGGTGAACAACGGCTGTTGCTGTACGCGATGTAGTCGGGCTCCGTAAGGAATGCCGAGAAAATTCCTTACACTACCCCCCCCCCCCCCCCCCCCCCCCCCCCCCCCCCCCTGTTAGAGGGCCCTACGACAGCAATGGCCTTCATTGACCTTGGACTTGGCAGGCCGGCGCCTAACGACTGAGTCTACTCGGCACCGACGAATGAGTTCGGTGGAGGTCGGGTGTGACTACGTGTGACTATGTGCAACTGCGCAGGAGTTCGCATGAAGAAGCGAGAGTCCTTGGGAGTCGTTGGTGCTTCCTTGAGAGTCGCACCACTCCTTGCTGTGTTGGTGGAGTGGTGTGCACGGAAGCGAGAAGTCGATGCTGAGTTGGGTTGGGAAATTGGCGAGGCGGGTTCGCTCACCCACACACCACTTTCGTGGGGTTGGGTTACTCGCAGCGCCCACGCAACCTCTTGTGAAACCCTCGCCTGCCTATATATGTTTGTGTTTGCTTGTGTGTTTGAGATATTCTATATTCCTAGTGAAGTCCAAATGCTACCGTACTTCAATTCTCACCAAGTCCTTAGAGGCAAACGCTGCCGAAACTCTACCAAGTTGCTGGCGCAACATCATTCCCATAACAGAAACTCTCTCGTTATCGCTACGCTCTCTAAAATATTCCTTCATGGTGCGGTGAGCGTGGAACGAACACGCATAGATTTCCATCGTCGTTGATATTCGCGTTCGTATACTTGCCTTGGCGTGCGGCGTTAGTGAAGGGCGCTTATTAATCTAAGTTGAACCTCTCTTGATTTCCCTCCAGTTACGTTCTCGGACCCAAGGATAGGGCGTTTGGTAATTTATTACCACTCGTCTGAGGACCCTTGTGAGGTGACCCCGAGACGAGGGATTTAAGGAATGGACACTTTATTTTAATTTGTGGTACCTTATAGAGACGTCATAGAGGATGAGTACAGAGGAGGCGAACGTGGAGGCCGGTAATTTGCGCGCCCTAGAGGAGGATCTCGTGGCTCGTCATTCTCGTGATGAGATTAGTGATATCGAATACGAGCTAATGTTGGAGGGATTGCGCTCGCGTCGGCGTCGTGAGCACCCTTCGCCACGTGTAGAGAATGTTGAGCAAGTTGCGGGAGGTACTAGTGCATGGGATATGGGTGTCGATGGCGGAAACAGCGATGACGAGGAGTTTGATGGGTTGATGTCGCGTGGGGTCCTGCGAGGACCAACTCGGTTTAGTACGGCTAGCGTTGGCGGTGTACAGGAGCGTGTTCATCGTGCAGCAGCGTCACGAGAGCATGCGAATGTAGGACGGCGGAGCGTTGCTGGAGGAGGAATTGCGGAAGAGTTTGATAGTGAGGCTATGCCGGGCGTTACCCTGATTGGATCGATGTCGAGGGACGAGGGAATAGCCCCCAACTATGGCTGCCAGAACATATAGCTCACTTATTTGTGTAGGCTATAGTGGGGTATCCCATAGGGGGTACAACCCAATTAGGGTTTCCTATTTGTACTCACTTCGTTCATAGTCATTTCATTCTCGTTCGTTATTTCACATGGAATCAGAGCAGGTTCCCTCCTAGGGACTGCTTCTAGGGCCCACCGAAGCGCGCCCCGAGGCGCGCTCTCCTTTTTTTTCGCGACCCGTTGTGTCGCCCCCAGCGGCCCGTCGCGCCGCCCTTCCCTTAGCGGCCCCGCCGCCCTTCGATTGCGGCCCCGCCGCCCTTCCTTAGCGGCCAGGCCGCCCTCTGCTAAGCGGCCCCGCCGCCCTTCGATCGCGGCCCCGCCGCCCTCTGCTAAGCGGCCCCGCCGCCCTCTGCTAAGCGGCCCCGCCGCCCTCTGCTAAGCGGCCCTGCCGCCTTGCTCACGCGGCCCCGCCGCCCTCTGCTACGCGGCCTCGCCGCCGCGTCGCCCGTGCACCTGCCCGTGCACCCGCCCGTGCACCTACCCGTGCGGCCGCCAGTGCAGCCGCCCGTGCGCAGCCTACGAGCCGCCCCACCCGCCCGTGCAGCCGCCCGTGCATCGCCCGTGAGCCGCCCCAACCGCCCGTGCAGCCGCCCGCGAGCCGTCCCAGCCGCTCGTGCGGCCGCCCACGAGACACCTGCGCCGCCCGAGCCGCCCGAGCCGCCCGCGAGACGCCCGCGCCGCCCGAGCCGCCCGCGAGACGCCTGCGCCGCCCGAGCCACCCGAGCCGCCCGAGCCGCCCGCGAGACGCCCGCGCCGCCCGAGCCGCCCGAGCCGCCCGAGCGGCCCGAGGAGCCGATCTTCTGCTCCTGTGCGGCTCCTACTGCTCCTGGGCCGGCGCAGCTGCTGTGCTGCCGTGTTGCTGTGTCGCTGTGCTACCCGACTCTTCCTGCCCGGTGAGACTGTCAACTGCTACAATGGCCACCCCCAGTGTCCTGACTTTTGACGCTTAGGGTCGCGCCATTGACTTTGCAGTCTGGATTGAGGACCTGCAGCTGTACTTACTGTGCGATGCGATTGATGAGGTTTCTCTCTTTGACTTTGTCTCTAGCGCTGTCCCTGCCCCTCCTGCTGATGCTGACCCCACTGTTCCCTCCAAGTGGGCCACACGCGATGCTGCTGCACGTCTTGCTGTGCGTCGCCACCTCCCTTCCTCCGAGCGTGCCCACTTTAGTCAGTGCAAGACCGCTCAGGCCTTGTACGACGCTGTAGTTGCGCGCTACTCCTCCCCTTCCACTGCTACACTGAGCCGCCTCATGCTACCGTACCTCTTCCCTGACCTTGCTGCCTTTCCCACAGTCACTGACCTCTTTACCCACCTTCGCGCTAGTGACCTTCGCTACCGAGCTGCGCTTCCTGCTGCCTTCCTCGCAGAAAACCCCCCTCCCATGTACATCACCCTCTACTTTCTAGTCACCCGTCTCCCTGAGTCCCTTCGTGTTGTTAGGGACCAGTTTCCGGAGGCCTCTGAGATCCCCCGCTGGGGAGAGCTGTCTAGGGCTGGTGTAGCTGTGTTTGATCTTGACTTTGATGCTATCCTTGCTGCCATGTA